TTGATAAGAACATAAGAGGGTCTTATAGAGGATCCAGGTAAATTTTATCGTCACACAACCAAGACCCTTCTAGATATAACTTCAGTTACCTGACAAGCGGATTGTTAGGTGTCTTAATGTTCGGAGAGGGATGTAGTTAATAGGCATATCATCCGGTAAGAGAGGACCTGAAAAAAAAAGTCGCAATCATGAGTGCTGTAATAATCGTGAAGTGTCAATAACCTTGTATGTGGGATCCAAAATTCGCTGTCAGAGAGTTGAAACAGCTAACAGTGAGATTTTCAACAGTGTTTCAATTTCCTTGTCATAAGTTTCTTTAATTTCGAAGTACAGTTAACGAAATACTGATTTGCGGGTGAATGGCGAGCTCCGTTAATTTATTCGAGTTTTTTTCCATTTCTTAGTGTGGACGCGCTAATGACGTTTGATATTATACTTTGTAAGGTTGCGCAATGTAGTATACACCAAGAAATAACTTTGATTTCCATATTAAAGGTAATCAAGAACGATCCAACTCCATATATGCTCAGAAAGTAAAGTTTAAAGCAATGTAGTGAAGAAAATGCCATTATTACTACTAGTAGATGACCCTTGCGCCCTAAATCGTTGTATGATAACATCCCCAAAAATTTCCGACTCACAAAGTACTATATCAATCTATTATTATTGAAGAATCGTATTTGAATGCTGTTCATTTATGAGGAGCTACGACGACATAACCTTTAAGCCAAAGTGAGACTAACCTGTTGTTCCTGGTGGTGTAATGGTTCTTAAATAATGGAACACGTCAGTCCTATTTGAATGTTTGGCTGCTCTCGCCATGAGACGGATGTTCTTCTTACCCTCTATGGTTGGGTGTGTTAATTGATCTTGATCTAACTGCAGATAGGTTTTCATTATTTGTATAGCCCCTTCAGTACTAAGTTTCGGTGATAAAAGGGATTCTTTGGCTATACATAAAACTGATACCATTTCATCGCCTAGGAAAGCGAATTAGAAACAAACGTTTTAATATGCTGCAAGAGTTTTGGAGAAGAGTACCTAAATCGTTCACCTTGAGCCTTCTTGCAGAGGAAGAAGTGATTTGAACGCAACAGTGCTATTTCGGGGTGTCTAACATGATTGTGTTTTTCATACATTTAAGCCATTTTCAAATTTATATCGATCGAACACCAAATGCGTGACTGAAGAAAAGTCACAAGAGGACAAGGCTTATCAATGTTAGGAAAGCATTACTTTTTCATCAAGTCTTCAAATTCTGAGAAGTCTCAGCTGAGCGAAATGTTCGGGTAAGTTGCAGATTTCTTTATTCATTTCCAGCCAAGAACTCCATCACAACAAAGAACATTGCAATTGGTTACTATTTTTATACTGCACTAACCTCGAATCACTTTTCCTGATTTAAAGTTATGAATCGTCTCTCTGCAATTTTCCAGTTCTTCCCTCACAGGATTGACCCTGACTCTCAAGATTGCTTAAAGAAAGAATTGTTGAAATCTAATTGAAAAAGAACAATTTCTCAGCCCGTTTCTAACATACCAGTACTTCACCACAGAGTGGTCATTTCTCGTTTCCTCTGCCGTTGCGACTGACGTTTAAAGACTAATACTATGTTTTCGAACCCTTTGATGGCCATCAGGTCCGTTAGCCATCAGTTATTAGTAAAACAAAATAGTTGCAACCAAAAATGTAAAACTGCACGCAAACTTGCGTTGACTCATAAAAGTACCTATCAGGCTAGAAATTGAGCCTTCTGTTTTGTGTAAATCCACTACGACCATGACACCTTGTGCTGATACCAACTATACGAAAAAGAAGTATTGCTTAATTATTTTATAATTCGTTCAAACAGTCATTTAAAAGAAATAATTTGGATATATCAACAAAGTTGAAATGGTAAATTGGCCACCGTAACGATTACAAAAGCTGACGTTTCGATATACGTCAAATTAAAAGACCTTCAGTTAGAGCTGTTCCTCCAAGTTTTGACAAAGCCCTGTCCAAATGTTCCATGGCATCTGTTATCCATTCTTCGACCTGGTTGAGCTTTTCTTGAATGCTTTCTGAGGATCAAAATATTTCTTTGTAGTCATATTCAGTATGAATATAGATTTAATTTCTATCGTAAAACTGATGATCACTTATCACCCACCGATTGTTTTAACATTGTCATTCAGTGAAAGTGAACGCTTTTATTCTTACTTTTTCTGATGCATTTACATTCAGAAGGAACTAAGCAGGGGTGTCGATGAATTGTAATTTCCCCCAGTTCTATTAATTAAATCTCTAAACAGAGTCGCATTAAACCATGTCTCATTGTCTTCCTGGTTGCTGTGTGAACTTTAATAATATTAATGTTAATATTAATTTAATTTTAAATCGCGAGAAAACATCTGTTCTTACCTTCGGCGCCTTCTTCGGATCCGCATTCAGAGGGAGCACTTCTCCAAGTACCTTCACCACTATCAATCGTTCGCGCAATTATGCTCTCAGTTTCTGGAAGATTTTCTAGGAACTCTTCACCACGGATTTTTCCTTGAAATGACATAAACTCTTTAACTTGAGCAACATCTTTTCCATTCTCTGAAACCAGTCCTCGCATTCTTAAGAGGTCTGAATCAGAGCTTGTACGATATTTCAATCCTCTTTTTTCTTCGCCTCTCGTCTCTAAACCTGTGTTAAAAAAAAATGACATAACTGAGCAGTCGTTTATCGAAAGCATTAATAAAAGGGCATTCATTCACATTTTAAGAGAACGATCCTTACACCCTTGATAGCATGTATGAAGCATAAGTTTCCCAAGTTGGAAAATGATGGTTTTCTTTAATTTTTTTTTTCTTTATTCATTTCAGTACACTCCACAATGAGCTCTTTGCTTCAAATTAATTTTAACTTCAACACATTATCCTCAGTTCAAAGCTCTCTGATCTTAAATCAACTTTAGAAAGGATAATCTTATTTTTTTACAAACCCTTCCATTTGAGGCTCGGAAACATAAGTCGGCAAAACAGATTCGCACATTCTTTAGATTTAGCAAGGACACAAACAATCATGAAATGCACTCAGACCAATAACGTGCGAGTCAAATCAATGAGTTATTTATGAATATTGACCACAAATAGTATTAAGTTGTGGCAATGCAATGACCATGTCTTCTAAAAAGCGACTCCTTTCGAAAGTTTCCCTCAAATGTGCTAAAACGTCGATCATACCGCCGCCGTTTTGAATTTCGCCTTCCAACCTAGCCGCTTGCCTGTGAAGTAACAAAGTATCTCTCAGTCCTTCTATTAACGAACTGTTAAAACGATTAGTAGCTTCACAGAAAGATTTTTTTAGTTATTCAAAGACACATGCTCTGACGGGATAACCACTGCAAGGGTTGTTTGTGTATCGCACGTCGTTCTTAGCATGTGTCGCTTGATTGGTGAGTGGTTTTTCAAATTAACGGCGTCAGGATTTGACTTTCAGCAAATTTGAAGACAAGTTTTAAACGGTTAACTTGTTCTGTAGAATCTTAAAACTTAATCAATAGTTAAGGTTTACCATGTTCCTTTAAATTTTGAAAATAAAAATTGCATGGTTTCCGGGGCAAATACAACACACCCATGATCCCTGATTTATCTTGTGTGAAAAATTAATAATGGTAACCTCTTCGGTCTAATTACCTTCTGTTTCTGATTTGATAAAATCGAACAAGGCATTTCTGTACTCATCCTCGTCAATGGGCACAGTCAACGTCACTTGGCCATCTGCAAGCTGCTTTATTTCCTGAGTAACAAGAAACTCTTGTAACTTTGTCTGAAGTGTTTTGTCCTGATAGCTTTGCCACAGTTTCTCGAGAGCAGAAATAGTATTTGCTTGGACTGTAAATCGGATCGATCCTTCACTAATTGCACGTAAGAAATTGCCGAGTGGAAGAACACCTCCTTGGAAAGCTTTGACAAATTCTTCCATACTAGGAGACCCGCGAAGGACCATCCAAGTCGTGACAACCACAGCACCACCAGTAAGATTACGGAAAGTACAGTGAGGTGTAACAACTGTAAAAAATTTAGAAGTCATAGGGTTAACATTAGCCTGTTCCAGTCTCTCTGGTTGGGGAGTCGACCAAAAAGGCGGGGCCAGGCAAGAAAAAAGAAACAAAAGTTGGGCAGAGTTGGCTAAGGAGAGGTAAATTGCTTCCCATGTAGACAACCGGACGATCTGAGACTCGCACGGAAGGAGGATTTCTTCACTTGTTTGGACTTGGCGTTTAGAAAATGACCGAGCCTTTGTACTTTTTAATTAGCTCTGAGTCATCATAACTGTCTGAATTGTTTACCATGTGTGCATCTGTGTGTATGAAAATTTCCTATTAGTTCAGTGGCCTTAGATGTTTTCAGAAATTTACTTCGAGTTAGGACAAGTATTTTGGCAGCAGTGAATCTCTGGTGTGTGAAAACACTCTTCGAGTAAATAACCGACTTAATATATCTTATTAGACATTTTGTCGTGTGGTATCGCCGAATATTTTTACGAGTTGTAATATAGGACATGTTGCTTGTCAATGTGCATGCTCTGCACTGTATTTACATTGCTATCAAGTACATGTGTATTTAAAAAGTAGGGAATACCTAAATCATTTGATGATAAAAATTAACGGTAAAAAACTACGACGTTTCGAAGTCTGCATGACTTCATTATCAAGTAAAATGTTAAAACTGATGTAAAATTGTAGCTCAGAGATTATATACAAATAAAATGTGATAACTTCATTAGAATAATGAGCGTTCATTGTTATTGGTGTCAGATCGTGCAGTATATGTTTAAATAAATACTTTTGCACGTATTGAGTCAGACTGCGTGTTTAACTTTGGTTTTTGTTCGCGAATGAATAACATTTCGTGGATTAGGCAGTCCATTTTCCCGCGGCATTTCTTGAGAACGGAAAACATTTTCCCCAGGCCAGCGGACGCTACACCGTGGGCCTCCCTCAGATGCTTGCCAATGACAGAGGCTTTATGTTCTTCTATGCGTTGATGAAGATGGCGTGTGGTATAACCGATATAATCCGCATCGCACGAATCACATTTAAAAGTGTAAACAACGCATTGGTGGTTAATTAAAGCGGGCTTCTCTTCTTGTATCTTGAGCTTTCCCTCGATCTTACGACTCGTGAAAACTGGTTGTAGGTCAGTTCCGATTTTCCGGCCAAGATCTTTCAGCTGATGTCTTACTGTGTCGGCCGATTTTTGGTCTTTAAATGGTAAAGTTATTCTGACAGGTTTTTGTGTAGCCGCGTCAAGTTCAGTTGGGGTTTCGTGACGGCTTTGGATCGTAGAACTCGTGTACCAGGCGATAGCTGAGTTGATGAGTTTCACTGGGTACTTAAGCTTAGTAAACATCCGCTTGAGATGCTGGCATTCCTTCGTAAAAGATTCTTTCGTTGATGACAGGCGGTAAGCTCGGTTCAGCATTGTATTCAGCAGAGATCTTTTGTAACGCTGATCGACATGGCTCTGGTAATGTAAGAGCAGTCCTGTATCAGTTGGTTTATGATATACGCTTGTTGTCAGGTGGCAACCGTTTTTCTCAATCATCATACCGAGGAATGGAAGCTTGTTGTTTTCAGCAATTTCCATTGTGAACTGTATGGCAGGATGGCATTCGTTCAATGTTGAAAGGAAAGCTGTTGCGGCTTGAATATTTGGCATCGTGGCTAATGTGTCATCGACGTACCTTTTGTAGAAACTTGGTAACTTGTTGTTGCGATCCAGTTGTTCTTCAATGGAGCACAGGAAAACGTTTGCCATAAGGGGTCCCAGGGGCGAGCCCATGGCCACACCGTCCACCTGCTCATAAAGTTGACCGTCGAACTGAAATAGCTGATCTTTGGTTGCTATTCTTAAAAGTTCGGTAAGACCTGTCTTTGTGAGGTTGAGACCATGCGTTTCATTAAACCAGTTGTTTTTAAAGGCTTTTTCAGCGATGATCTCAATAGTCTCGTCGAGTGGCACGTTGGTAAATAAAGCACATACGTCATACGACACGAGAATGTCATTCGGGTTGAGTGGTGTTTCCCTTATCACTTCGGCGAAGGAGAAGATATCGCAGATAGTGTGCTGATTTAATGAAAGGGGCTTAAGCTTCTCTTCAAGCCACTTGGCCAGGGCGAAGTTGTAGGTCCCAGTCGATGATAGTATCGGTCGCATTGATAGTTGCTGTTTGTGAGTCTTTGGAAGACCATAAAGGTGAGCAAGCCGGGAACCTTTGCGACAAACTGTGTCAGCAATCGGCTTTNGGAATGGCCCTCCAGCATATCATCTTTGCCAGCCTAGTTTCTGCCGGATTTCACAGCTCTCAACATTTTCTCAGACAATCGGTCGAACTGACTTCAATTCAGGGCAATAACTGATTAATTCATTTCAGTAACTCTCACGATCCAAACAATTCCATTGTCACAGTGTTCGACCTGACGGAGCAAACGTTTGGTCGAGTAACTTAATAAATGTTTTAAAGAGAGAATTCAGTTGCAGACTGTCTCTTACCTTTTGTTCTTCGTTTGCAGTGCTCCCACTCTTTCCTTTCTCGCTCGGCATCATCTTCGTGTTTTCTCTTCTTCTCAAACTCCTCTACTAGTTTACACAAATCTGGTTTCTCTACCTCGGTTGCTAAGGTTTTTAGGATAGTGAGGTTTTCTATCCCCAAATTGTTCTGTTGTTCTAGCTCTGATAACAATGCATTGATATTTACGATATGTGCTCCTCCTTCACGAGCAATTAGATTTTGTCTTCTGCAGATTGAAATGAGCCGTTGCAGTTCATTGGGCTCGTCGAGTGCTCGACTTATCTGCTCCAGTAACTGTTTGTAGTCCTTTCTCTTGACTTCAAATTGCTCCACTATTCGAAGAAGATCCCATTTTTCTAGCTCCTTTAAGAGTTCCTTCAAAACATAAAGACGATCAATTCCAAGAAGATTCTCTTCCTCTAGCTTGGTAAGCAACGAAATAACGTCGGTGATATCGTCTACGAATCCATCAGGAAGAAACCCTTGACAAATAAATCTTATTTGTTCGCGCTCATTTTGCCAGTCGATTTCCTTACTGAACTGATACAGCATATTACGGTATTTGACGACAGACATAACTGTAGCTTGAAATAAAAATCGATGATCATCGAAATTGAGGCCGTGCTTTGCTAGTCAACATACTGTAACGATGTTAATTTATGTATGTTGAGTTAATTTATACAGTTTAGCTACATCTGAGTTCCCGGATGTATTCGTTCGCTTCGCTTGATGTGCACTCGGCTTACATGATTAAATGTTGTGTTTAGAGTCTATGGTGTTTCACTGTCTGTCTTAGCGAACACGTTACACATACTTCGACCGATCTAAGTTGTTTCGTAGGCTACGCTTGGTGGTTCTGTTACTTGACTCGACAGTCACACAATCTTCAACAAATTTTCAATAATAAAAAAAAAAACCAAATAAACAACCTAATGCGGGGTCTAGAGATCAGTCCGACTCTATGCAATTGATTAAGATCCTGAAAGAAATCGTTTGGTTTACAGTTTCCACGGATTAATTTACATATTTTCGCATTTGCAAACCCAACGA